TCGATCGATTGTGCATTACACTTTTGATTATTATTTTTTAAGTTGGATTTATTTATCTCTTTCAGTTGAGTTTTATAACTACTAGTTCTAGATTTTTTCATGCCCTTGAGTCCAGGTGCTATCTGCGAACGTCCGACTCATTCACGAATTAACCAAATTAAAAAAAATTCCTGTGCTTATTTCAAGTGGTCTCTAAAACCTTTATTTTCTTAACTTACTGCCAACAGTAAATGACGGAAGAAATACGCGTAGATTTTAATTTTACACGTGACTGTGAATACCGCCACGCCACGCCACATGTTGACAGGACTTCATTGAGTTTCATTTAATCATTCAGCCTCTAATAATTTTATAGTTCAAAGTCTCCGTTGTTTGGGGAAAATGTATAATAAATTATCAAATTATTCCCCTACATCGTGCAGGCAAATATCGACATGTTTTCCTGATGTCACACCACAACGTGGAACAAACTTCCAATGATCTAACTGTACTCGTGTATTGTACGCTCTCTCATATAATCACATAGCTGCTGATGTGAACCAGTTTTTTATCATTCAAGTGCCGGTTCAATTGCACTCTTTCGGAAAAAAGGTTTTCGTTAGCGCAACTTGATGCCTGAATTACTCCAAATTCCATATCATTAATGCTTTTGCCGAATTATCATAAAATGAAGTTTTTGCCCAAGGTCTCGGAAGTTAATGAGCCAGGAGTAAGCCAATTGAATCTTTTATTCGCTGATTAGACAAGAAAGCAAATTTTTTTTGATCGCCCAGATTTGAAGTTTGCAAGATTCAGATGTAAGGTACCGTGGGGATTCAATCTAGGTGTGACTGCTTCATTTTGTTTGGCACTTTAATAGAGCTGATCATATTGTTTGACATTGACCTTCAAACGAGAGGATGATAAGTTTAAGCTTGCATTTTAATGTGTAAGTTTCGTGCCTACCAATTAACAAATCTCGTAATGCTGTGTTGTTCTCTATAGTCTGTAGTTCTGTCTTTATCTTATACTGCATGTAGTCATGGGATGGTTGATACGAACGCTTGTTGTGATGTTTTTTTTCTCTTTTTTTTAAGCCCAACGGCAGCACATATTCTGCTACGTGGCCAGCAATGTTACACGCCCAGAACAGGTTTCACATGAAACTTTTTTTCCCCAGGTTTAAGTGATGCTCAGTTTTACGAGTTAAATTCTCATGTATTTTTTTGAAGACTCTACATCCAAATAAGTGGATCTTCATTAGGTTGTTGTAAGTGTAAATATATTTGTATATATTATATATTCATGTTTCCATATGATGAGTACTTCGTCCATTCGGTTATTCTTCTCTAGCATCATATTGAAGTTTTTAGATAACTATTATCACTGCAAAGTTATCAGTCACTGCATAATTTTTTCTTCGTTGCCAGTATTTTCGTGTCCCAACCCTTCACAGTCGGGAACCTCGTAGTATGATGAGCGTAATTGCAGAAAAAATTTTCGACTGTCTCGACTCGTCTTCACGATCTTACGATCTGTCTTTTCTCGGCACGATTTTTTCCAACGCGACTGAAGAACATCACGGACACGATTTTCTTCTCTTCCTGGTTTGTACTTTGGACCACTAGAGTCAGGATGGCTAAAAAACTTGATGGTCTATCGATTCTTTTTTGGTCACCCTCTAATATCATTATAATTCGCGTGTTTTTCTTTGTGTAAACTGTCATCTTCCCTAAAAAAACTTTTAATATATTTCCTCGTATTGCTTGAGCTCGCCATCTATTAATTTGAACATATCAGATGCACTGTGTTTTTTATTTAATTGCCGCCATTTGGGGATGATTTTTTCCTGTGAACAAAGAAGTGGCTCTTCATGTCTCATCTCAACGAGGTCACCTAGTCCATTATTCCTGGTAAATTGTATTTGATTTGAAGGACTCAGTATCTGTACCTTATTTGATACGTATGTGCCTATAATCATTGATATGAATCACTCGTTATTATATTATATGATATGGACTCAGTATCTATGCCTTATTTGATATTAAGTACGTACGTGCCTATAATCTTTAATATGAATTACTCGGTATTATATTATTTGATACTAAGTATTTCTTGTCTACAATTTTTAGCATAAATTACTCGTATCTATATCATTTGATATGGAGTACTCATTTTCTATATCCTTTCATTTCATGCGGACTAAAATTTCTAAAATCAATAAATTTATTTTATTACTTAAATTATTACTTAGTCACCCGCTTGGTTGATCTTTTCAAGCAAAGCCTCGTTTGTTACATTGTTCCCGTAATATCATGTTCTCACTTTTACCTGGCATGTTTTTAGTTATATTACTTTGCCAATGGTTAGCTTTTTTCGCAAGCACCAAACAGTTTGCAGTTTTTATATTTTTTCTAAAATCTATAAGTGGCCCTATGCTGAGCTACAAGAAATGTAAGCCATTGATGATCAAAGAAGACCTCAGAATTTATTGGATCTCATCTGCAATAATCTGCAGAATCATGGTCGGGATATTGCGGATAGAAGTAAAGGATTTACCAGTAATATTCAGTAGGCAGAACACTCGCGCCCGTGTGCGTTCGATGAGATACATCGGATCACATAGACCAAGGCTCGAGCTCTGAAATCTGACGAGAAAATTACACGTTATTTTTTATATTAATTGGCGTATATTTTTTAGTCCCTCTAATCCGAGCCTGGCAAAGTCCTATCAGCAAGAATCTTAACAGCTTCGAAGTGCTCATGTACGCCTCGATCGCGCTCGCCTAGATTCTATCAAAGAGCAGCTACCTATCACTTTCTTTGCTATTGTTTCTTCCATACCGTGCATTGTGGATACGTAACTTATTTGCACGTGTTAGTCTTGTACTGATTGGTACGTTTTAGGTATAAATATTTGTGGTTCTTTAAATATATGTACGGATTTTAGATTATTAGAGGAATACAAGTCGTGTCTATTATGACCTAATGACCGTATTGGATCAGCGTAATTGTGTTCATAATTAACTATATAGATGTTCGAGTCTTGACTCAATATATCCGAATTTTTTGTTTAATGCGGTCACTTGTTTGTGTTGATTTTTACGAATAATTTTTTCCGCATATTAATTGTCGTGCGCTGAATTTTAAGTGTTGCATGCATCAGATATACCTCTAATATATTCATCCCCACCCATGCTCGATGTGCATAAGGCATTAAAATAGCGGGTATGTTCTCCCGTTATGTACCGGTTTTACAACGGCTGTTTGAACGCCGACTCTCCACCGAAGGATCTTTGAGAAATATTTGGCGCCGCTCCTTCACAGGATACTCGATCGTGCAACCGCAGTTCCTATCATGCAGGTTTCGATGATGCTGGGAACAGCCGCCCGATATTGCATTCATAGGTATCTAGGGACTTTTTGTCCCTAAAATCTTATTTGATTCAAATCTGCGATGCAATTTTTAGCCAATTAAATCGGATTGTCCGGCCCTGCATTAAATAACTTCGACAAAATCAATTTCATTGAATTAAATATATTATGTGCTCGTATGTTCCAAGGACCGCTTGTATTTCAGACTGTAATTAATGACCGTTTATCTTGCAGACATTGATAAATGACCTTTTATCGTGCAGAAATTTATCAATGACGTCTTATCGTGCGTACATCGATCAATGACCGATTTTCATGCAGAAATTGATGAATTTTTCGCTTATCGTGCAGACATTTATAATTAAAGACCGCCTATTGTTCAAATATAGATAAGTTGTCATTGATTGATCGCTTATCGTTCAACAGCTTCGGGTCTATTTGTAACACCTGTAATTAGTCCACACATTTACATTACCAATTAAGAAGCAAAATAACAAGTTTGTTTTGTTAATGTTTGAAGAGATTTTGATCCTTATATGCTCGTTAGTGATAAATCGGTCAAGTTGTTACCATTTTGTGTTAGAAATAGATTTACTAATCTAAAATGGCAAACTGAAGTACGTGCATCGACAAATGATCCGATTATTTTTGGAAACATCATTTACGCCTTTATCTTTTACACTAATGTAAAATTACCGCCGTTCCTAGTCGTTTGAGCAAATTTAAAGCAGCTAATAAATATATTGAGAATTGATTAGGCAGGAAATGCGATTTATATCATTACCATCTAATACTGGTATTGTCTGTATCTATACCTATTGTATACTGGTAACGATACTGGTACCGATTTCATAAGATTCCACCAACGAGTTCAGAATGTATCATGAGTGTAATCAACTTACTATATGCCCATATTTACGAGAGCATTGTGCTGGTAAACATGTCTTTATGTTTAAATACATGTTTAAACGCATATTCGCATCTTCCTATTCATGCTAGATACTTGCGTTAAAACTTGTGCCATTGTTGAATCTGAATCAACGGTCATAAAACAAACACCAAAACTATAGTAATTGCTAATCTAGTAATTGATAACTTTAGCAATCGATGGAGTTCGATAAGATCGCTAGGGTAAAGCACTGTACTACAAACGTAATTGAATTTAGGAACAGAAAACGGCCATGAATACGAAGAGGCTTAATTTGAAGTATTCGTACACTCAATCAGACGTATTGTGTTCCTTTCTGTCATTTCGTTCTCTGTAATTTCTTTATACACTACAATGTATATTTATTCATTATACTTTCTCATCATTTTCTCTCCCTCTCAAAGGCCTTTGTTTTCAAGTGACAAATTATTTCACCCTATTATTGAATACTATGTCACTTACACCCTCCTATATTTCTCCCTCTATAAGGCCTTATTTATTTATTCATCTCCCATTCTGCACATGACCGCTCGCTCTTCCGCAACTCGCTATCATATTTCAGAAATATTTAAATTCAACTTTTTCATCTAATAATTCCTTACAATATTTTTTATGCACATCGCGCGTAGCATTCACCATAATGATCCTCCATCCTCTCCAGTTCCCTATTTTCCTTCTTATTTATCTCCCCCTCACTGTCTCGCCCCTCCCGTTGCAGCTCATCCTGTCTATGGGTGAGGGCGATCCTCGTCGTATGGATGAAATTCGCAAGTACGCCGCGATTTACGGCCGCTTCGATTGTAAAAGAAAGGCCGAAAAACCTCTTACACTCCACGAGGTAATGGGCCGGTAGAACGGTTGAATGGTAGCGTTGTCATGGGGCTGCTTGAGATCGTTGCACATGTGTTGAATTGGTGGATGTGTGCTTGCTGGTTCTAAATCTCTATTAGATGTAGCCGTTTTGCTGGATTATTATATTATGTACTGTCAACCGTCAAAAAAGTCATCTTTGTTGTTTGTATTAGGTTCAGTGTGTGACAATGGTTGTGTGGTGTGCGAGTTCGTGTTTAATACAATAAGCGATCATCAAATAGTGTGGTCGTTTTATGTGCACATTTGTGATACGTAATAATCAACTTTAGAGTTGTGAAGGTAAATTTATATTCTGATGAAGGTGAAGTTGTTATTTTGAATGAGTACCTAAATCATTTCCAAAATCAAGTTTTTAACGTGATTTTTTTTTTCGCGATAAAATCGCAGTTTTTAAAGAGTATAGTATAGGTACATAATTTCAACGCGACCAAAATATGCTAGACGTTCGTTTTTTTTTTCTAAACAACCTACGACTTACAGAAAAAGATTCCACTTATTAGTGTAGAAATATGATGCAAACCTAAAAGATTCTTGAGCAAGGGTATTTCTACGCTTTTTTAAAAGCAGAAGGTCGAAGAATGAAAGCTCTTGGCTTGTTTAAGTGACGAACTCATCTTCACCTGTACCTTTCGATCGGTTTTTCGTACTCCAACAGTTGTCATTCTAGAATTTTTTGGTCGTTTTACTTTTATTTTAGTTTCAATTCGTTGGTTTAGAGGGGACGTCCTTTTTTAGCATAAGCATTTAATGGTTCATTATGATTTCGTTTTTAACATCAGTTGCACATCATTCTTTCTTTGTTTCTTAACTTTAAGTTATCTACAGTATTTTACGTCTCCATGCTTCCATGTTCCGTTTTTGTACATTTGTTTACCAACCGTTTCAATAATAATGAACTTTGATGCCAAATTAGTTGTGTAACAAAATTCAAACTTGCAAATTCGAGTGTAGGTTCCTCAGGGTATATTAGGCGCGAGAAATATGTAATGAAAACTTGGAAATTCACGTCCTGTGTGAATTCTAAAAAAATTAAAGTAAACTTCTCTTGAAACTTCTGGTAGAAATTATTGTTTCTTTTTTTCATCTCGAGTTTGGTAGTAAAGTTCTTAGTTTGAGAAAGTAAAAGTAAAAAGTGATTTACTAGCGCAGCAGCTCAACATCAAGATAAAAGGTGTTGATCCGTAACTAATTCCACCAATAATAGAATTAATCATTCATCACGTTACACAGGTTGAAAACCTCTGCTCCCAATGGACAGTTTACTGAATTTCACGAAAAAAGAGCACCTATAGTTTCTCAAGCGAAACGAAGAATGTAGCAGTTATACGTGAACATCTGCAGAAACTAATAACACTCTTTCAAGAGTTCGTTTAAACGAGACGTCGGCCGCCGCGCGAGAGACGGACATGAGAAATGCAGGGAATCCTCCCGAAATGACAACCTAACTCCACAACTGCACTGCCTACATAACAATTTAATCCCACTACTGCCCAGCCTACAATAAAAACCATTTAACCCCTCAACTGCTCGGCCTCCATAACAACCCCGCAACCGACTTACCTGCCTATACAACACCTTACCCCACGACCGAGACCCGTAGCCAGATCCGCTAGCTCTGTGGTGGGTTGCCTAGGACCGTATTGAGGGGGGGGGGGGCGCTCAGGACGGATGGCCCCTGGGAACGTGGTCTTCCTTCTGGCCTTACTGGACACGGGCAGTAGTCCCAACTGAGGAACCTTCCTCTAATAAACGACAAAAAATCATCTTGTGTTGTCGTTTCGGTTTTACCTCTTGACATTCTTGATCCATGCATTCGGTTACTTGAACAGGAAAATTTTAAGGCTTGGATGTGGATACCTAGATGTGGCTAGTTTGCCATCACCGAGGCCGGTAAGATTCAGCGAGTCTTGACCTGTGATGTAGGTTTTACCGACTCGACTGTACTTCAAATTACTACATGTACAGTGGGGGGAAATAAATATTCGTACACTTGAAAAATCGTATTTTAATGTATGTAAGTACACAAACTTAACAGGAAAAGTGATTTAAATTATGTATAGAGACGCATAGTATTAAAAAATACTATCAAAAGAAATTAAATCTCAATGCAACAAAAAACAATGCAACATGTCATAATTTAAATCACTTTTCCTGTTAAGTTTGTGTACTTACATACATTAAAATACGATTTTTCAAGTGTACGAATATTTATTTCCCCCCACTGTATTTACGACGTGTTTCATTCAGTCTGGAGAAGGAATTTATTTTCCTGAGCTTTGTAAACATATTTTGTGAATTTTTTTATTTTTTTTTAATTTTCTGTATTAATCTTGTTTACGTAGTACTTTTTGCTTTTTTCCTCGCATTTAAATTACGCCGGAATGGGCACGCAGCTTTTAATGATGTTTCTTAAGTTGTGGAATTTTTATAGAAACGATTTTAAAATGCGGCTAACTACATCTTCATTTGATGAAGGGATATAGGAGAATTGTGATAAGAATGTTTCTCAACCATTGCTATGAAAAGATGAATGAATGCTTATAGCTTTATTTCTTTTATATTTTTTATTACTCCCCAAGCTAATTATTAGTTATATATCAGAAAAAGACCTTACTTCATAATAGACCGCAGAAACGATAGTCTATTGGAAGTTAATGATATATTTTTGAAAGGATATTTTCACAATAGTATATGGTCTATGATTCGTTCTGATTATTTATTTACGTACGGGCTGAACTCGCCATGGTTATCGTTGTTTGCGTGTGTGTCAGTTTTCTGTAAGGATATTTGGCGCAACGGTTTTTATCGTTAATTTCACTTGGCAGGTGCACGTTGGTGGAGATGTTTTGCCTCTTGTATGTAATCTTTGGTTTTCTCGTAGCAGATCTTATTGAAGATGTTAGGTCTTTTAGATTTAATCGAACATTTCTCCGTTGCAGGTGATAGCGAAGATGTTTGGTCTATTGGCTGACGTTTGGTCTCGTTGAAGATGTTTTATCTCCTTTATGTAATCGACGGTTTATCTGGACAGGTGTCGGTGAAAATGTTTGGTCTATTGGCTGATGTTTGGTCTCGTTGAAGATGTTTTATCTCCTTTATGTAATCGAAGGTTTATCTTGACAGGTGTCGGTGAACGAAGCGGCGGCGCAGATCTGCAAGTACATGCCGGCACTGCTGACCCGTAGGGACGAACTCTTCCCCCTGGCGCGGCAGGTGGTGCGAGACTCCGGCTACCAGTACTCCAAGGGGCACTCCAGGTGGGTGTTAGGCCTCTTTGGGGGCACTTCCTCTAGTGCCCCCACTGGGCCACTTTAGGGCACGCCGGGTAGGTGTTAGGCCTCTTTGGTGGCTCTCCCTCTAGTTGATGCTGGGCCACTTTAGGGCACGCCGGGTGGGTGTTAGGCCTCTTGGGTGGCACTCCCTCTAGTTGATGCTGGACCACTTTAGGGCACTCCAGGTGGGTGTTAGGCCTCTTTGGGGGCACTCCCTCTAGTTGATGCTGGGCCACTTTAGGGTACTCCAGGTGGGTGTTAGGCCTCTTTGGGAGCACTCCCTCTAGTTGATGCTAGGCCACTTTAGGGCACGCTGGGTGGGTGTTAGGCCTCTTTGGAGGCACTCCCTCTAGTTGATACTGGGCCACTTCAGGGCACGCCAGGTGGGTGTTAGGCCTCTTGGCCTCTTGGGGGGCACTCCCTCTAGTTGATGCTATGCCAATTTAGGGCACGCCGGATATGTTTTAGGCCAATTACATGCATGTTTTAGGCACTACAGGTTATAGCCATTTGCAGCATTCCAAGATAAGGGGGTTGAGAGTTTGAAATTGAACATGTCAACCATGATTCTATGGGTACTCGGGAGCTATTATCGAGATCAATTTGATGGCTTTCACTAAAGCTCTTGATAATATTTCTTCAAATTCACGGTGATATTGGAAACAAAAATCTTTCCGAATGATATGAAACTGAACATTTTATCTCGTGTTTCTGATAGTAGCAATTGATGAACTCTATCAGCTCTGTGAATTAGCAACTGCAGGAGAACAAAGGATAGTAGGCTCATTCAACAAGAAAAATTATTCCTGCGCAATTTCTTTGAAATATGCAGTGTACATTTCCTGGAAATGAAAATGAAAATCTTTAAACGACCCATAAGTTGGCCATTTTTTAGCAGGGTCCGACCGTCGGTACCTGACACAGCTCCTGTAGGCGCAGAAGTAGAATATTTTAGGGAACAATCATCGGCCGCGCTGCTAATTTTAGCCTGCCAACGTTCCCTGCTTTTTATGCTACGAGTTTTTTGTGTGAGCGATGAAGGTGGCTTTTGAGGGCGAAATATTTTATGACCATTCTCATTTTTAAGACAGCCTTGTCGAGTTTTTATGTATAGAAACTCAAGCTATATGTGATATTTTACAACAATTTTCGGACAATTCGCAAGTTTATGGAATGGACTCAACTTTGAAGATATGCTGTAATACGTAATCCACAATGTGGCAAAAAAATTACAATAATGATTCCCATGTAAGTAAGTCGTAGTTTTTGATTATTGTAGTTAATTGCGCCTGACATGGCTATATAACGTGAAATCTATCTCGTGATTTGTCGCTGCTTATCGCTTAGAATCAATATAGCATTTAGGAATGATCACATTATCACTTAAAATATTTTTTGAAACACCAAGTTAATTTTTATGTTTGAAATGTTTGAAATTATCCTTTACTTTAACTACTTTTTAATTATCCGCCGTTTACTACGCTTTCAGAAAGGTCTTAAAACCTCTTAAATTTTTTCAAGTACTATTGTTGCAGCTCCTCGCTACTAACTTACCACCAATTGTTTCTGAATATTTTTTCTTGGTATGTTTGCTCACATAACTCAGCTTGCAAATAAATTTGCGACGCGTTCGCGTAACAAAAAATAACATACCATGCAGAGTCCAGGTTTAAATTTCAATGCATAGGAGCTGCAGCAAGCGTTGCTCGCGAATAAAATTTATGGCGAGCAGCAATTGCCTTTAATTTTCACTTCGAAAAAGAAGTTGGTGCGTAGCTTTTGAATGACCGGGGCTCATCTTTCCATCGTTTTTAAATATATTGTTTGCGCTTTTTGAATTCACGAAAGTATTCGATGAAAATGAAATGCAGTGGACGGTCATAAAGAGTGCCTCAAGAATTATTCTCACAACGTCTGCATATCAAATAATCTTGTGAATAATGAATGAATTAGGAATAATAGAGCGAATATTTATTATTCGCTGCATTTATTATGAATAATAAGTGCAGCTAATTGTAATACGGTGCGCATATGCTGTGACATTCACGATAGAACATATAAACCTGATGATTATTATTCTTGGCCGTGTTGATTAATATTTTAACGTCAGAATTCAACGAGATTTCAACGTTGAAAGAATGTCAAAATGTACGACGTTGAAAAAATTACGTTGATTCATTCTGGAATAATATTCAACGTTATTTCATCGTCGCGAAGTACGTTGTTTCAACGTTGATTCAATCTGACAATTAATGCCTGCTACGTAGAGTTATATGAGGGACGTAGCTGTTAGCTGGTCTGCACTATGGTGAATATAATTTAAATCGCCTCTAAACCTGAATTCCTCGGCTATATTATAAATACTTCAAATATATTATATGAACTTCTTCATACCGATCTATTATATGATTATTATACATATTAAGATATCAATTCCGAATGTTTTTCATTACTTTCCGAAATCTATTGCTCTTCAAAACTAAACTTTACTTCAATTGCATTTAAACGGTGTGGAGTACATTGTTATCTTTTTCTTATCTTATCCTAGCTTATGCTGCACCTGAGACAAAAAAAAAAACTCGTTGCCCATTTGATCACGTAGGCAATTTTACTAAATGCAGTTTACTACTACGCACTTGGCTGAATATAATTCTCGTTTAGTTAAGGCCTCTAATTATCTTCAAGAGTACGGGTACGTTTAGTTTATCTTTTAAATACTACTACGACACATTCTGGAATAGTCTTAGACTGGTGATGACTGTTACTATTTCAGATATTCAGTTTTATTACGTTTCCTGCCTAGTGGTATCTTTCTTCATTGAATTTAAGTGATATAAAGTTACAACTTCGAGCTTAATTTCGAAAAATGTGCTGCCCGACTAATTTCTACTTTTGCCAAATGCCAAATTCTCAATTATTCGATTACAGGGTAGACATTTGCATAAATTAACGTAGATAACAAATCCTCATCCAAAGGGTGAGTTCTTTTGGCACTGCTTGCCATACCTACTGAACCTGACGTTGTTAACCTGTTCTTCACCGCAAGCTGCATGGTTAACCTGTTCTCTGCCGCTGGTCTGGATCTAAGATCTGGTTATGGCAGCTTTTATCTTCTGCTATTCTGGGAAGATGTACTTTTTAATTAAGGATTTAGAGCTTAAATTTTATGTTCATTTAACAATTTTTGTAGTTCTCTTGCAATTTTTTTCACACTAATCTTGATATTTGTATAGGTTTTTAGCAATGCTTATCATCGTGTAGATAATCATTTGTCATTTGAGGTCTAGTTTTTATTACCAGTTTTTGAGTTTTGCGGAACGCAAATAAGATTGGTAGTTAAGCAGCGTTGTAGTCTCTTGCTTATGATTGAACTTTAACGTGTTTTGCAGAATAGGTTCTACTTTTAGTACATTATATAACTTTCGATTCTTAAGGTATTAATTTGCATCCCTACCTAATATAATTATTATTGAGATTTTCATACTTACATAAATTTAACATTGTGTTGTGTTCTTTCCCTCAGATCGCAAACAATCGTTGGTGGAGGCAGAGACGAAGAGCTGCCCAGGATCAAAAGATCGCGATCTGAATCTGGTGAGTCCGACATGAGACAAAAATTAGGAAAGTAATATTTTGCTTCAGGTTTCATAGTCTGGATTTTTTATCATTTCTACCTAACACCTGCAAGATAGTGTGAACACTTCCTAAATTATAGATATTTAAAAAAATAAACTCCTTAATAAGTTTTCCAAAATCAAGTTGAAAATTTTCAATTTACATGCTGATATGCATGCGATAATTTCCTGTAGCTCAGTGCTGGTTAGGAAGGATGTGATTTTAAGCAAAATTTGTGGGATGATTTGCTGTAGTTCAGATTTTAAGATACGCTGAATGGAAATTATCAGCCATGAAGCGAAAACTTTGCCAACTTTTTTTATCTGCACTGAAGGGTTCTTCAAGCAACGACAAAACTATTACGTAGTACAACGAAAATTTTACGCTGATAAATGCTGCAAGAATATTTAATTTAAATGGAAATAAATGAATTATTTATGAATGGCGGCTAAGAACATGAGGTTTCAGACTGTCTAATTAAGTGACCAAGTTTCCTGTTTAGTCATCAATGCTATAATGACTCTGATTCAAAGCGGTTAATAACTGATTTTGGACGTAGACTCAGATATTTTGTAAATAATATAATTCACATCCACACAACCCTACTTCTAACACGTTAACGCAGAAAATAATTCTTCAAGTAATTTGTAATTATTATATTATAAGCTTGGATTTAAAATTTCTCTCGCAAGCTTTTAACAATTCATGTCTTCCATATGTATTGATTGCATTAATTTATAATTATGCACTTTGGATTCTTATTAAGATCGTAATAAAATTCTTGAATATAATCACTATAGAAGGGATGGTAATTGATACTTGTTTTAGAGTGGCCTGTATTAGATCTGTAGTGTTTTTATTCCAATACATTGTGTTGTTGTCCCTCAGGTTCCTCTCCATCTTGTTCCCCTCAACAGAGGCCTTCCCCTTCCCCCAAACACAAACTAACTATCTCAGTGCGCGCTGATTATCTTCCCGACCTTCCTTCATAAGAATAATTGCTCTCCCCTAACACAGATTGTTTCTCTGCAAGTGCACGTTCTTAGCGAAAAGATCTCTTTTTTTTTTGTCGTGGAAAACCACCTCATCCTTTGATCCTTACCGTTCTCTTACCCTCTCCGGGAGCATGGGAAAAAACATGAACTTAATTTATTAGCTTCTTCTTCATTTACTTTTCTAACTTGAATGAATCCCACCGTATGGCTTTTATTTTTGTTAGAAGAGAAGCCTTTTAATAGATTAAATAATTTAGAGATTTCTCTTTTGCCGTGTCTTATTCAGGGCATTTTTTGTGATTAAGGCTCGTATTCATTTTGGATTAGGATTCATAAATGTCAAAATTGAAGGAAATTTTTCACAAGCCTGCAATGCTTTTGAGACTCTTCATCCAAATGAGACACTTGTGTCGTTATAAATGTTGCTAACCACCATTCTTGTCTTGAATCATTAATTTAAATCTTCTCGATGTAATCGAACGTGTATTGTTTTACTATAACCCACATCAGAATTTCTAATGTTTTCAAGTTTCCCGGAAAAAGTATTCTTTCAGATTTGGATTCATTCACAAACATGTGATATTCTCAGAGACTAGTCTCAGAGACTCGTATCATTCATATTCATACATTGCTCGCTAGTCCACGAGGTATTTATATTGCCTGTCTCCAATTACGAATCTCTTTTACACACCTTGAGGAATTTGAACGGCAGAATATGTATTATTGCTTATAGCTGCCACAACATGAACCATTATAAAATTGTTAGAACATGTTTATGATGTAACCAATATTACATTCATTACAGTGAACCTGATAACGTTCTTGGAAGCAAGACTGTTTTTCTCTTTTTTTACTGTACTTCTGAAAAGACTGTTTACTGTACAGCTCTGTAAATTCTCAGATTTTTCCATGCTGATTTCTGAGATATTCTAATTCTAGAAACTCTGTTGTATCTTCAAGCCGATATATTTTGCCCATTGTTGGAGAATCCTCGTCTCTTTTCAGGGTGTGACGCGATAATATTATATGAACAACATTATTTGACGCATTTTCTTTTTATATTGTATTCTCCGTCAGTAAAATTGCGGTTGCTGATAACAACAAATTCTAAGCTGCTAACTCAAGCGTCTGAGTTTGATGTAACTCTATCCATTTGTTTTGTTCTTATTTACGTGAATACATCTCCTGGGATTTATTTAATTTTCATTTCAACATTCTCTTCTACATTCTTTCACTTCCGCTATAGCGTTTTGTGCCATCCGAAATAACGTGTACTAAATAAATAACCTCCAGCTTGTACTGAATAAATTAATTAAATATTTCAGCAAATACATCTTACCTAATACACCTCATGAAATGCATTTAACCGCAAAACTAACAAGACACTCATTAACTAAAAAGCTTTGCTACTAATACACCTTATGAAATGCATCTAACAACATAACAGCATGCAAACTAAGTCTTCAACTAATAGCTTTGCCAGCCTTAGCTGCTAACTCACTCAACTACCTACTAAATTAATCCCGAGCTCAACTTTACTAACGCACTCAACTATAGCTACTAAATTGATCCCGAGCTTAACTTTACTAACGCACATGCCGTTGTTCAGCCGACCCTCCCGAGAGCAAGACGGAGATGACGTGGGAGAAGCGCCAGAAGCGGCTTGAACAGATCGCTGAAGAGCTGCGCGTCATGAGCGAGAAGGCGGAGGACGTACGTAACAGCCTCGCCAACGGTACGGGCGACATGCTGGAGCTCACTGCTCAGATGGAGGCTCTGCAGCAGCGGCATGGAGTGCTCACCATCGAGCAGAATGACCTCATCAAAGCCCTCCGCAGGTTTGTATATGGGTCTATCATCGTCGTTATTTAGAATATTGAAGGACGTTTTTTGTATAAATTGTCCTACAGCGGAGTGCCAGCTATCGATTTGACCGAGCTCATTGAAGTCCCTACGCAGGTTTGTCGGTGCTTATGATCGTCGTTGTTAAGAATATGAAATAAAAGTCATGCTACCGATTCTCCAAGCATCGGAGGCGGTCAATTCTATGACAAAAAGGCTTTCCTGGTTGCCTGCAATCAATTATTAGGTAAATCGTACTCATGCATAGCAATCCCTTCCAATCCAGACATTGTCACACGCAAATTTATTCGAACCCTTTTAGAGGGCGTCGGAAGTAAAAATTTCTGCCGGAGCAGAAAATCGCTATGAATCGTTGCATTAATACCGTTTATTTAATAACAAGGCGCTAAAGAATATTCGTGAATTTAGTATTCGAACGCAAATAATGTTTAGTGTTCTGTTTAGAGGAGAGGTTATGGCGGACTACGACTTGACCTGCCCCCGAGATACGGTCAGGTCACGACACAGTCACCCGGTGACCCCTGACTGGCGGTGTCTGGATCCCCTTGACATTTGATGCCATAAACTTGTGAGAAAACTCACACTGATCTCAAACTTGATGCCTATAACATGACTATGTGAATGAAACTTTATGTGATTTTTATCTGTCTTTTAGAATATGTTATCATTTATTATGAAAAAATTATCTTTTTTTTTTTTGTTCATTAATGGATCAGTGGAGGAATTCGTCTGCATTGATTTCAACTTTTGTTCAATTTCATATTGAATTAGGGAGAAAGGTTCTTTTTATGTTCAGTACAAATATTAAATGTCTAAGGAGAATTATTGCTTAAATTGTCTGATTCCAATGCGTTTTTTCTCTCTGAAACTGCTTGGTCATCTGCATCAATTCTACGATAAGTTATTGCTAGTTTGAAAAAAGTCCAATTATTATCAGAAATAACATTTAACAAAACTGATCAATATTATAGAAGCTAACTAAATCGCTTTGTATCCATTCAGTTATTTATTCCAGTAAAATGCGCTGGACATTTAGTTCGACTGCACAATTCATGCTCTAGATTCTCGGCGGCAATTTCCTCCTGCAATCGGCGCAAAGGAATGCAGGCGTGGCCAATCAATTGAACAATCGAGGGCGGTGCAAATATTTCTATTGCAGATAATCCAGCTATGTAGGCACTCAATAACTGTGTAATGGACCTCAATTTAAAGCACGCTGGACAGGTGGAATGCTCTTGTTTTTTCTTTTATTTTTTTTTTGTGTGCACCATTTGATGCTCGGTGAGAATCTTGCAGACTGTTCCGCAAACGCGTTACTAGAGAAGTTGTTTAAGCACCTGCACATTGTGCATCTAGCGCTCTTTTATTTATATTGCGGTCCTATCCATCCTATCAAAATATCCTATCGTTTCCATCGAGTATTCCTGTGTTCCGTATGGATTAATATAATCGAGAAATTATTTGCGTGTGATAATTACGTTTGATAGGTACTTGTATCAACTTTTTGGTTCCTTGAATCTTCTGTTCAGGTTTTCATGTAAACGATCATTCCAAAAAGTAGTGGAAGTAGTTTATACTTTCGCGAATTCAACTGTTGAATCACGCCAAACAATGTGATGCGTGTGGGCGTTCTGGCCTTCCTCACAAGCGAAAAACACTGCGTAATAATAATAAATAACACTTAATAATATTTTTACAGTACCCGTTCTGTTTAGGTCTCGAACGATAGTCCTAGCTGTTTGCCAACCGATCGACGTCTATGCGTTGTCATAGCTTGCCATCCATCACTATACCACAGCCAGTGCGATCGTCGCAAAAACCTGCAACGATGCCCACCTCTTTACTTTTTCCTGAGTTAAAAGTGGAAATTTACGCGTTTTCGGACAAGTTCTTTAGGCTAAATATCTAGATTGATTGAGCCTTGAGCTGTTATTCTCCCGCTGAGCTCGTCCAGTTCTCGATCGCTCAACTACTTGATTTTTTTTGTTAACTTCGTTTCTAAGCATTTTTCTAGATAGTCACAGCCCCACCATTTGCCGAGTTTATTGGCGAGAATGTAACCGGTATGGGTCTCTTTTTTTTGCGAGTGCCATCACGCGTTCTTCTGCAGTGATCAAACGTGGAAAAATTTTAACCTCAATTTCATGCCATGCGGTTGCAAAAAAATGTTTTGGTAGCGTAATTTGTTTCCATTGTGGGTTCCTCTTGGTAGTAGAGTGCAAAAAAAGTAATTTTATCCTATTCTTTTTAATTACATGATTAATATTCGTCTTAATTACATTTCATTATGTTTGAACGGAAAATTTAACCTTTAAATTTATGCTCATCCTTTGTGGATAACTTTTCAACTGTGTAATATAGTTAACTAACTACCCGTATCAAAGATACGGTTAGTTAGTAGGGACCTCGTATTAGCGCTCAGCAAATTATGCGCCAGATATCAAATGAATGAACGCAGTCTGTGAGATACTGTTTAATGTTATACTATTATTAACTTTTATTTTTTATATAGTTTTATAAAAATTTATACTTTTCCCACCATCCTTAAGTTTGTCCAAGCATTGTATTAAAAATTATCGAATAAGTTTATTTAGGTTTATTTTTAAATTATTATGAAACGTCGTCAATTTTTTATTAATGAATTCAAACCATTGTGAATCATCTGTGTAGTTCATAACACCATGTCCATTTAGGCTCAATCTTAGTTAGTAATTTATTATGTGGCACAGGCTAATTTTCCAGTCTAAATTCCGATTACGGATTAAAGAAGTTAAATTTGATTGTTTTTCTGCAGTGGTCCCGACGAGAGAATTGAACGTCCGGCAGAAGACTCTGACTCGAGGTTGTCGTACAGCGGCTCGAGTAGCCCTTCGCAGGTGGGCGCGTTTGGCTTCCATGGTCTATTTATTTTCAAGTAATGTTTTTCATAATTTGAGTTATCGTCCAAAAATGCTTTTCATAATTTGAGTTATCGTCCAATAATGCTTTTCATAATTTGAGTTATCGTCCAATAATGCTTTTCATAATTTGAGTTATCGTCCAATAATGCTTCCATAATGCGATGGTAGTTTGAGATTCCCCGTGTCTAGCAATAATATTAGGTTGAAAACACACTGCTCGCAGATGAAAGTTATTTAAATGGCAGGTGTTGGCGAACTACTGATAATATCGGGATAAAAATTTGAGCAATTACCTATATAAATGAGAAAGATTCTCATATCTTTGAAGCAATCGATAGATACTTTATAAAGAGAGTCTTTTGAGCATCCATGCTCAAAATATTTCTTAGACTCAAGAATACCCATCGTAATCATTTTTTAAAATTCATTTGCGATAATTAATTTGTTTTTTTAATGAATAAATTTAATTAATTAATTAATTAGTTTTTTGCTGGACACAGTCCGGCAAAATAAATTACTATGCTCAACCTTGATGTTGTGTGTGTGGTCACAGTGGCTGGATCATTTAACTGACGCAATTTTCATGCAAATTTTTCCTTTGGGTTATTTCAAAATTACATGAAAAGAACTAATAAGATGATCCGTGAGGGGAAAATTTGATGATGCCAACATCTGCAATAGTTTTGTGCTGATTGAGTTCGCAAAACGAAAGTTTCTCTGAAGTACAGCGGCTACTCAAAGGATTTATGCAGTTAAAGTGAGACATGAGCGAAGTGGCGAAGTTGGACGATGCTGCTTTTACCACAAAAACTGCCCACATAATGAAATATTTTTAATGTTAACTGCTTTAAATGTAGCAAAATGGGCGATTTTGTACGGCACCTTCATATGGTGACACATCATATAATACAATCCAGTTAAAAAGGGTTACAAGCAGCTTCAATAGCACTTGTTGCACAGTTAGTCTGACTCGCGACGTACGATCAAATATAATTAAGGTTATCAGATTTAACTATTGATTTATCAGATTTATCTATTGTATTGTATGTCGGTCAGGTGATCTCTTCAAGCCAGGGCAACATCATCGCTGTCGCCAACCCTGCGCTGTCGCAGTCGTCGGCGCTGCCGCCGCGCTCGAGTGATGACGAGCACGGCAGCGCGCAGCCTGCGTACAGCAGTGCACCCACGTCACCCTCCGCTCCCGCCACACCCATCAAACAGGAGCCCGACTCTCCCCCACACACCAAACATTGAACGTGAAACTTCGGCCAACAAACTTCTCGTACATTTGACGATCAATTTCAACATAACAAAATCGGTATAAATTGACTATCATACAATTGACGGTCAATTTCAATCAAACAAGATCGGTATAAATTGACTATCATTCAATTTACGGTCAATTTCAATCAAACAAAATCAGTATTTAGTCGTTTATCAATTGCAAACAAAAGGCCACCGAACGGCCAATTGTTTGATTTTCGGATCGGAAATTTTGAGAATAATCAATTTGTCTGTCTCTCAAGTAACATAAAAACCATAACATTTTCTTATTCGTGAATTTGATTGTTGATGTAAACTGCGCATTTGAGGAGAGCGACACGGTTATACATGCACTTAAGATTAAAGGCGAAGCGATCATATAGTTACCTACCTACGTTATTGATATTGCTTAACGTAATTTACCACAGCAATCATGAGCCAGTAATAGCAGTCAGAATTTGTTTGTATACTCACAAGGCGCTTTAGTCTTTATTGTTCCCCGGTGATAGAAGATCAAGATAAGATTATTACAGAGAAATCCAGAAAAAAAATTAAATTGACCAAAGTTTTGGATGCGTAGTAATATCCAAAACCAAACTCACTCTAATTACTAGTTTAATTTACTTCTTTTTTGTTAATTTTCTTGCTCATAGATCGAGAATTCCACCATTTTATTGAAGCTAATATTTTTAGTTACGATAGTACTCAACTGTATGTTATCTACATCTCTACTTTCATCAAGTTGGTCTGATCCACGCACCTGTAGATGCTCTATAATTTGGTTTCTGACTTAACAAGTGCAATATTGAATAAGTATGTGTATATTGTGCACATTATGTAGATAATGTATACGAAGCGTCGAATCCTGATTAATTCTCACGTCGGTCAGTTCGATGGCGGACAAAGTGTCATTTTTTCGTTAATTTCTTATTAACGTTTATCAATTATCTAGCCACCAATTCAAATACCTTGATTAAGTTAATGTTATTAAATTCTTCGTTGTTTTAACTGTGCTCGGCATTAGTTATTTATGTAATTCAGGTTATGTTTGTTGAAATGATTTCCCGAATTATTGACACTGACATTAATGAGTTTGCGGTATTTAACCCAGGACGAATCGCGATAACTTGTGTAAATACCATCAGTAGCGAGTCAGTATTTCAATAGCGATATGTTAAAAAATGTCATTCACTATTTCTGAGCAAAAGATGGCTGTTTTTTTTTTGTCTGTACGAGTAATTAATAATCAGAGTAAATTAACTTTTGTCGTCTAAATTTTCGCTTTGTTTCTTCGGTGTTATGTGAATACTTGTACAGACATTCTCCAATCGTGGTTCAGTTAATTGAAGGAGCCCAATTAGGTGTATTATTTCGTTTTGTTTGGAAGCCATATTTATTTTATAATGATATTCGGGAATTTATTGCATTATTTATGCTCGAATGTAAAGATTCTAAGTTTAGTCTTATTTTTCTTACCGCTACATAGTAAAGCTCGTCAGGTGGAAAAGCTTAGGAACTTATCTAATGTAACTTTGTATATGAAATAGATGTTTTATGTGCAGGTAATCGTTGCAAATTAGTTATCGGCATTGTAGTTTATTTATCGCATAAATAAGATTATCACGACCTTGAAATGTGCTTTCGTGGCGTGAGAAAGATGATTAAAAGCATACAGGATGATGCGCGTAGGCAAGAAAATTATTTGGTAATATCTTCCTTTCCTAAACAATAATCGTATCTTATGTTTTTAACAATAACTCGTGATTCAATTCTGTTCTTCAAATCCATTCACAATTTCAGTTCTAGGGCGAGACAACAACTCGTTCAGTTAATGATTAGAGGACTCGTTTAATTCTATGAATGTATTCAAATTATGATTCTATTGATCACTTCATCTCATGTGTTGACGAATTTCACTTCTGAAACAAAATATTAGCTCAATTAAGTACAATGAGAATTATGAATGAATTGAAGGAATTGTGAATAGAAGTAGCTGTTACCTTAGTTGGTAAACGATTTTGGCTTAATTTGCATTTACGCCTGCTATGAACTTGCTGATCTTTCCTAAGTTTGAAATTAAACTTTATTAATATTAGCTCAATTAACTATTAAAACTATTACCTCAAACAGCTAGACGGTATCGGCATGAATTGTTCTCGTTTTTTACCCGCGCTGCAGGTGCATGAACCAGTTTAACGCAATAACAATAATTATCAAATAACAACAAAAAATTATTATTGTGATTTGTTACAAACAATTTTCCGTATACCGTGTTAATTAGCCATTGATCGGCAACTCATTTTGCGTTCACGTTACTCGGGACATAAACTTAGTTAAGCCAATGTTTGTGTCTCTTCAACTGAACGAGAGAATAGCGGTTGTGAACTCAAATCATAATGAGTAAATTATTCATGAAGTTTATCATCTATTCTTGCATCGCAGTCGTGTTTCTCATTCATTATTGCATCGCAGTCGTGTTTATCATTCATTATTGCATCGCAGTCGTGTTTATCATTCATTATTGCATCGCAGTTGTGTTTCTCATTCATTATTGCATCGCAGTCGTGTTTCTCATTCATTATTGCATCGCAGTCGTGTTTCTCATTCATTATTGCATCGCAGTCGTGTTTCTCATTCATTATTGCATAGCAGTTGTGTTTCTCATTCATTATTGCAAGGCTTGGAATGACCTGAATTCCAGCTTGATTTGAGGCTTAGAATGAGCAAGATCCAAGCTTTGATGATGTTTAGAATGACTAAATACCGGCGTGGAATAACCCAGAATTTTAGCCTGATTGAAGGCTTGGAATGACTTGGATTCCATTTTGATTGAAAGCTTGGAATGCTTAAGAGACCAGGTTGATTATGTTCACCAATTTGAAGCTGTATTTTTTCTCAGAGAGGGAGGTGCAATTGTATTCAAATGTCTCTGGCTTTTGATTCAGCAATTCTGTCTAAGAGCAAAACCAATTGGACGGAAGATTTCGTTTTATGCAGGTCAGTTTTTTTCGCATTCTGAGACTAAATCAGTTCGCTTATAATCCCTGGCGCAAAATTTCGACTTCTAATAGTGATGAAATTTTATGCCACTCCCATTTCATGATATTGGTTCGAGACCAAGCCTTGCAAAGCCGAAATTTTTTCGCCTAGCAAATTCAAAGTTAATATTTGATTGGGAAGCTCACTTATGAAGAAAATTTTCATAGTTGACTGTCAAATCATTATTTATAATCGTTTGAAATGTAGCCCTTAGTGCCGTGCGAGGTGGAGTCACTTCGCTTGTTTCAGTACAGAGATTTTGTGTTAGTTGAGCGATAATGAAGAAAATAGCATAAATCTTAGCCAACGAGCCTGTAGAAATAATTTCGTGAACATTGTACATTATATTTCTTAGTGTGTAAGAATTTTAACAAGTTAAAACGAGGATCTCTTGCACCATGTCTCATTTCACCCTCTTCAGGAAAATTATTTTATATGGCGTATCCAACAAGTCTCCCGCATTCGAATTATTTTCAGAGAAATTGGGAAAAAAATATTCAATAAATTCTGCGTAAAAATTATCCAATTCCACTCCCGCTAATTCGCGTCCAGAACGAACAAACAAACACAAGTTAATGACTACAATTTATTTCGTAGCTTGAGTTGGCTTCTTACGATCAGTCAATCATTTACATCAAAAATAAACACGTCTAGAGGGTGAGCGACACATATTCCAGAATGGGAATACAATTTTTATGGGCATATTTTACCCGCAAAAAAAAAAACATTATGAAAGAAGTTGCAAAGATAGACATTTTCAATAATGTATCATCTCTGAAAAATGCTTCCTTTTCAACAAGTAAAATTTCTTAGAACCCACGTTTCATCTGAAGGCATCTTTCATCAGGTTACGAGAAGGCATTTCTGTGTGAAGATCCGTAATGGTTAGTTTAAACCATATTTTTAGAAAATTATCAACAAATAGCAAGTCTACAAAGGAACTTGTTGCATAATTGAATATCCTAAGCATTACGCAATAAGGTCACAAAGCAGGGCAGTGAAAAAAATGGAAACGTGTTGTATCATTCCTCTAGCATGAAAAATTAGTTTTAAAACTAATCAAATAAGTAAAATAACAAGAGTCGGCCATTTGGATTGATAACTCAGCCGAAAAAAACTTCAAATCAGAAAATGAAAACTTACACGACACTTTGATTTTCATAATAAATCAATCAACAAACTTTCACCGTCCACGAAATTAAAGATTTCTCGCAAGCATCTCTGTGTTGTACCTTGAAATTCACACAAAAAGGCACGCAACCGCGCGAGAATATTTTCAGACAAGCCGGCGGTGTTTGCCACAAACAGGAGCTCAGGAGACCCTTGAGGGCGATGACATGCAAAGAATTGCACTGTAAATGGAGTTATTTCAGTCGATGTTCCCGACGCGGCACCAATAATACCATCAGTGATCGTCTTCTCGATGATCAAGGGATTCTTAGTTGACAAAATATCTGGAGGAGCGGTCATCCCAAGCGAGGACCGACTTTCTAGTAGTTTGTACTTGAACGTTACGGTGAGCTTAGCGATACATTTAATGGAGTCCGTGCTACAACTTTTCACCTTCTTGTTAGGACTTTCATCCACTACAAAATGACTTGTTACATCAGCAGCGTAAACGTGGCGCAAAATAAACACTATAATTTGAACATTGTACCATCTAACATCATCCAAGCTGGCTATGCTCGGATCGTATCGAAGGGAGCCAGTCTCTAAGTCAACTACAATAGCTTTATCTGAAGGCAAGGAAAATTTGCATGCGTAGGGCCCCGAGAGATCGATCTGGGTTAAGATAGCCGAATCGTCGTCACTGAGGCTGACCTCAGAGCAGGAATATTTTGCATTTCTTTCAGAGACAATAGAGTGAGTTCGTTTGCGTTTGAGACTCAGTAGTGTGTCTTGTGTTGCTCCTGCATGGTCGCGCGAGATTTCTTCAGGATCAAGCTGTACTTCATTAGAAGCTATAATATCTACTTCAGCAGCAAGCGTTATTTTTTCAGAACTGGACGTTATTTCTTCAGAACGAGGCGTTGTTTCTTCAGGGACATGTGTTATCTCATCCGCATCAAGCGTTATCTCTTCAGGGTCAAGGGTTATTACTTCAGGCTTAGGATTTATTTCTTTGGAGTCAGAAAACAAGTGCGAGATTTCCAACACTTCAACATCTTGGGTATTTTTACCCTCCTGGCTTCCCAAGTTAATAACTTCAGGTTCTGGCGAGCCGCTTCTGTTGTTTTCTTGCGCACGAGGCAAGTTGACACCAGCTGTGGCATCAACCTCATCACGATCAAAATCTTCTGATATCTCAATGGGATCAAAGAGGGCTTTAGGAGGCAGATTCAAGCTAATTATCTTGCGGAAAATCTCACTGCTTTTCTGGCATAGCGTTTGGAATCGTTCAAGATGTATTTTCGTAAGGCCACGAGTGACGTTGTGGTTCAAGTCGAAAGGATCTTGCACGCACAGTGGAGTGTCCATTTGAAGGGACCCGTTGGCTTGACAGTAATCTTCGAGTCCGGGCAACCGATTACGATTTTTAGACTCCATGTCTTTTTTAGAGACCAAGTGACCCAACAACGGACAAATGACCCACTCAGAGGCCGGCAGATTTGCATAGTAATCGAAGAATGTCATCGCAAGCTCCAACACTGAATAATTTTTCTGCTGACAATACTTGGGGGGCAGTTGTTCTCTGAAGCCACAATTCCAGCCGTTGATCACGGTCTGAAAGAAAGTATAGAAAATTCATGACTAAATCTCGCGAAAAAATGTATTATATATTAATAATTAATTTTCACATAAATTATATAGTAAAATTTGAATCAAGATAAAATAATTCATTATTTTCTAATTTACGAGTGTTTATAGCAATATTGCCGTCAGAAGAAGGCAATAGATCAGCCTTTAATAGATAATTATATGTCGCCGCTATGATATTAAGATCTTAAAGAACAACAGCAGATAGGTTTCACGGGAAATACTTGATAAAACACCCACCATCTGGTACGGCATCCTGCGGAGCTGGGCGAGGGGAGGAAGGATCTCTATCCTATTCATGATGACGAAGGCCATCATCATGGTGAGGGCGTAGTTAGTAAGCAACGATGCGGGTTTACCGCCGCCCGCCACATCATGCACCTTCGCCCAGAAGCGCACCAGCATCATGTACGGCCGCACCACGGGGTGCGCCGAGGTGTAGAACCTGATCAGGTTTGTGTTGCAGATCGGCATGGCGTGTCGGAACGACAGATCAACCTGCGTCAATGATAAAAACTTTCATAAAAAGCCAAGCAAATTTAAGAAAATAACAAGAATAAAATCAAGCAAGACGAGTGAGAGCGATTTAAAGCCTAACAACAAGGAAGACTTAAGGAAAGTAAGAAACCTTTTATCGGCCACAGAATTTTGAATACTCCTTTCAGCACATAATTCGTTTCGCAAACTTGGACATACAATAACAAATAAACGACAAAAAAACAAGGGCATGTTAAATTAAAGCAACGAATAAAGCTAATTAAAAAGAGATCAAAAAAGCATTTTTTAATTTACAAGAGTCCTTTTGGCAGCATTGCTGTTAGATGGTTAATATCTTGAAAATCTTCTATAAGGCTTATTTTTCCCACGATACGGGTAACATGTACACATATTCTAGTTTGTTTCGTGTCTCATTGATGTATTTTCAATAGGAATTAACGCAATAATCAGCTTATTGCTAAATAATTCCTTACAGCGATATCGAAGATGCAGAACTTGACGATGGGCACACGGGCTCGCGGTATCGCCTGCACCTGGTCAACGAAACGCAGCCATGAGCCCAAAAAATTTGAATTTTATTTAGCACGAATGCGAACAAGTTATGAAATAAAATGTAAATTAAGCAATTTGATATGCACAACCACTAGTTGGAGTTAAGTATGAACGAATATAATTGGCAAAAAAAATACAAAGTATGAAATAAACTGTAAGCTAAGCAACTTGATATGCACAACCACTTGTTTGAGTTAAGTATGAATGAATCTCTAACCTAAAGGAGGTGGAATAGTTAAAAAGTTGTAGATGTTTAAGCGTAAGCGAAGTCTATTGAAAATCATCGAGTCAAGACGACAATTAACTTAAATTAAAACACTAAAAATAGCACAGATTTAGCATTAGGATTGTTATAAGAAAGTATAACAAGCATTTCAGTAACACAAGTTCTTTAAAGAGAATTACTTACATTTCTAACGCCAGGTTGTTGGCGAAAATGTCTAGCCAAGTGACCGACGAGCTTTGCTGCAGCTTCTCCTCCATCGGCTGAGAGTTAAAAAAATTCAACACCATTAAAAATCCAGAGTATTACTGAATATATTTATTCAAATATGCGAATGCTTGTAACGTGAAAACAATATATGTCATTATTTGCATTATTGAGGCTTCCCTACATCGTTATTCGCAACTAAAATATATGCAGCCAATTTATTGAACATTTAAATGCAACAAAGTACAAATCCAGCATTTGAGACCAGTTCTTGGAGTGTCGTAAGGATCGTAGCCGAGATCAGCGTAAAGGTCGACGTCGGCGCCGGTGAAGCCGAGGTTGTTGGCCGAGGAGCCGAAAATGTGGCAGCTCACAGCGGGGAAAATTGGCCGCAGTGACGCCGTCACGCGGTCCCTGTGGGGTGTGGGCAACCTCAGTAGGGGGTGATGAGGCGGGGGTGCAGTGAGGTGAGTGGTCAGTGGTGCGTGTGAGAGTGGCGCGTGTGGGAGTGGTGCGAGTGGGGTGGTGCATAACGTATATTGAGTACCGGTAAAGCATCTATTAACTAAACAATGTAATACAATAGAATGAGAGGGCATTTATACAGCGATAGGAAATTATATGAAATAATAAGAAAAAGACAAACTTAGAACATACCTGGCACAAGGTATAGACAACTTGAGAGCAAACATGCACGGAAACTAAACGTGCGTCAAGATGGTAACTATGAAGTAGCTACGACGTTAGAAAGTCTTCAGACATTTCCAGTAGCCCCAAAGTCTAAACGTGGTCTATATATTGAACAAGGCTATTTGATTTATACGTGGCCAAATACATAGTAGTTTTGAATCATAACGAAGAAATAATTCTAAAATGACAGATCTAAAATTCTGAAGTGAGGAAATAAAAATTCCGAAGAAGTGAAAAATAAAGAAATGATGCAACTCGTGAAGAACAATTTCCTGTGGTTTAAAAACACACATAAAATCATTAGACACTGCGTTTAACGCTCATTACCTGACGCGCTGTCTGTTCTGAAATTCGTAAGGCTGGAGCTGAATGCTCTGCAGCAGCAGTCGCAGCACCTCTAGCAGCTCAGCCTCTGACGAGCAGGGCGTCGACAGCCGCTGCTTCATGTCAGGCGTTAACATCAACTCTGCCACGTTCTCTGTAATACAAACTCAAAGATATGAGGCATTCACACGGCACACATTTTATATAGTACTATTTATTATGTTTCACAGTAATAATACGCGTTAAAAAATTACTTTTTAAAGACAACACTTCTAAAGAGGCCAGTGTCTGCGATATTACACATGTACAATGAATATTTTTGAATTCCTTATTTTTTATTTTTATTTATAAATATTAAAACTTGTTTTTACTTAATGAATTAAAATTTTTTATTTATCAAATTATTTATTTTGTCAATTGATTCAAGCATTGTCACCGAAAAGCAAGTGTGCAAAATTTCAGATAGATTTGACAGGTAGAAGTGTGTTAAATATCGATTTTAAGATTAGTAGCAGACAAACAAACAAACAACAAGTTGTGAAGTTAAAGAAAAGTGTTGTAAAAACAAAATATAGTACATATTCGCATTAAGATTAGATTTCTCAGTACAGTCATGTAATTTTCATGTTGGCAACACGATTGTTAGCCAACATTCAGGCGCCCTGATGTGGGAGCGTGAAAGCGATATTGTATGGAATTCAATAGTACCTACCAGATCATCTCGTATGCTGACTCTTAAAACTCAGATTCATTGTCCATGCTTTCATCATCATTTCAACTGGAAAAAAACTTCCAGCAGACACTAGTAACGATGTACATAACACAGACACAATAAAGAATAGACTTAACGAGATAACAGACATGTGCATATACTCTCAAAAAAAGTCAACAGATCGTAAGTTCATCAGCCAATCATTGACGGCCTTTCAAGCAAAATCTACCAATCATAAACAAGAAAATAGAGCGTAAGTACTTACGTTCACTTAGCGAGTCAGATATTACTGAAATATAAATTGAGTCAGATATTACTGAAAAATAAGGAATTAAAACACAGACTGGTTGAGTGATAAAAAAGGTTAGATGCCTTCCGGCAACAAAAGTATGGCTCATGGAGTATGGACGCTTACCGCGCGCTACGTCGTCGGTGTGGGTGCGCTCGGTCCTAGCGGCGACCGTAAGCTGCTTGCCATGGAACATTATACGCGAACGGATGGCAGCGATCGCTTCAGCTCTGAAACAATGATATATCTTTACTGCTGTTATGAAATATGGATAGATTAGTTTCATATTGACATAACAACATCAGTCACAAATAAAAAAAATTACAAATAAATGAAATTTGAAATAATTATTAGCGGTGTCTAGCAGAGAAGTGCAATAATAACTTAACATATAATTATTTTTATTTTGTGTTGCAATATTCACTTGCCAGAAGACTTGAGTCAAGATTGATCGTAATAATGACCAAGCTAATGCAATCACATGAAGGCCAATGCATTCAAGCAGTATTAGCAAAATAACGAAATTTTTTCCTTTAAATACAGCATCTTCAACAAATCAAATAATTGCAGATCGATGAGGTAGGTATCGTTTGTAACAAAAAAATCTGCAAGGATGTGCTTGAAAATCATTCGATAAGAAATAATAGTCATTCGAAATTCTGAAGAACCACCCTGAAGGATGAATTCACTAAATTCACTAGACGAATCTGTAACGGAAATCATTGTATTGATAAAAGACAACTAGTACTCGATGTTGTCATTTCTCTCAGTGGCAACTTATGTTCATAATCTTATATATACGTACGTACTATATGTACGTACGTATCCTGGATTGGGGCATGAATCCAGGATACTTATCGTGTTGGGAAACTGCCTGGGTCTGAAAATTATCCTTGGTAAGAGAATAGTGAGACATTGCAAAATTACGAAGAACGATTTGGACCAAAAATATCAATTTAATTTTAGATACGGTAAGTATTAGGTATAAATTTAATTTTAAAATGTGCAAACTAGTTTTTTTATATTTTTAATACGATAGTTTAATGTGAGTTCTAACTTCTACGTATTTTCTTTGTAAAATTAGGCTTTGAACTAGCCTTTCTTAATTACCATACGCTTCATTATTATTATTAATTACCGGTATTCTGGAAACTGCATTCTATAATTACAGGAATCATCAAGCTCGGCCACGTAAGCTAACTGATAAGTTTATAATAATTTCGGTTTGAAATGATAAAAGTTTGAGATCCAGAAATAAAATGAAAAAAATATAACTCAGTACTCACTGCAGTGAGTGATACAGAGCGCATTTTCTCGACGACGAAAACGTGAAGTCACGGACGGACGGACAGACAGACAGACTGACGGACAGACAGACGGATGGACAGACAGACGGACGGACAGACAGACGGATGGACAGACAGACGGACGGACGGACGGACAGACAGACGGACGGACAGACAGACGGACGGACAGACGGACATGGCGAGCACAATAGCGCCTTTTTTTCCATAAATGAGAAAATGCGCTAAAAAGCGCGTAATAATCAACGTCGAGATTTGAATATTTACATTAAAAGTGTGTAGAATTTAAGTTACATATGATAATAAATTACGCAAGGGATAATAAAACTAACCTGCTTCCAAATTCAACAAAGGCATGATAAGTTCCCCAATGAAAGTCTATCATGCCCAAGTCAAAGAAAAGTTTACAGATTTCTCTTGGTGGCGTTGTTGAAGGAAATCCTGAAGGAATATTAGAAATGATTTTAGAGATTAGAAAAGCAATATCCTCGTAGGTATGCGTTCATGTTGCACGTAACATGAAATTGAATTAGCACAACAAGACTATACCACTAATATTAAAGTTTCTACAATCAAGTACCTATCATGATTTGACTTCTACAGTGAAAGTAAGTTAACATTTCAAGCAAGCTTTGGTGTAAGGTTATATAGAAATTGCAGTTGAAATTTTTCGCCCGATAGATATATGTACGACCGTCAGATGAAACTTGAGACTTAAGCCCAGCAATAGTTTACAGACAAAATTCTTTCTTGCATGTCGCCGTCAATAAAGATATGTTGATGCTTGAGATACACTCACTGAAATCTGTGAGACTTCGTACAAAAAGTGATGCACTTTCTGCCTTGTGTGGGTAATCCTGACACAGTTTGGCCCAACAAAAGTGAAAATCAGTGCTACGTGCTGTAATTTTATCATTATTTTAACAAGATTAGAATATTCATTCAATGTACCAGCAGCCAATTCGTTCTGATCATTTACGTAGTTCGAAATTTAGATACTAATTCCCTTAGTGAACGAGCAGCATACAGAAAAAATGCTTCTCTGCATCAAGATGCTTTGTCACCACAAATACATCGAAAAATAATACATCATAGAAAAATAATACATTCGACAATACATCTTCTCGACATTCTTGCACGACAATCGCAACACAAAATTCATACTTTTATGACCATGAATAAGATAGCAAAAGCTAAAAAAATCATTCTATCAAAAACTTCGATCTTGAATATATGTATTATCAGCCAGACAGGAGATAGCTGTCATTCCATCTATTCTACGAAAAACTTAGAGTGGGACGAATTCAAACAATTTTTATGTCAAGATGTGGTGGCGAAAACATACGTTCTTAGGATGATTGTTACCTTAAGTTAACTTACTGCTAATTTTGTACAAGAATTAATGATCATCAAGGGATTCATATACTCCGGCACTGACCTGATACGTGCACGGTTCGTCTGTCCCTCTCTTCTTTTTGTTGTTTGCTGCGTTTCACCCCAAACTCCATGACTCGATGTTTCCTGCCAACCAAGTGATTGATGTACGACTGCGAGTCGAGCGGCTGTTTGGTCTTGCACAACAGACAGTGACGGGTCTCATCGGACTCTGAAGTATTGTTTGAACCATGAATATCACTCGTATCTGTACCGGGACCGCCTGTAGCTGAAGTGCTAGGTGCGATTGTGTCTTGACTCTCCATGTTAGTGACACTACTCTTATTGCTGTCATGCTCCCGCGAGGCTGGTGCAGCAGAAATGTTCGTCTTTGTAGACTGCAGATTGTGACGTAAGTCAGTGGCATTGACACTGATCAGCGCTACAGGATTGTTCACAAAACCTGAAGAAGTGGATGGTGCGTTGTGGTTCAGGCGATGAGGACTCCGGTTAGAGGGCGGGTAAGGCACATGGCGAGAGTTTTTACCTCCAACGTAGCCGTCTGAGAGTCTCGAGTGAACGCCACTACCCGAATGGTTTGTGCCCATTTTACCCGATGAAAATGAATTCTTCCCAGCCATTATATTAATTTTCAGCTGTGATTCAAACAAATTCTTAACAACACCAATCTAAGATAAAAATGCTTGTTTAATGGCTCTTAATTCGTCACTGGTTATTGCCAGTTTTAAACACCACAATAAACTTGTAGGAAATTATGCTCACAACACAAGACACTAAAACATAAAAAGTTTAATTTAACATTGAAAAATGCGGATGAATTTTTCTAGTGCAGTTTTTCCAATATTAATTTCACTGAAATCAAGCCTTGAAATCGATTTGAACACATTTCCACACTTATTCTAGAAACACTGCTGGATTGATGCACAATTGTATCTACAAACTTTGTTTTCGTGAAATATTCTTATTATGAATTATAGTGATAAGTATAATATTAATTATTGTTAGATGTGAAATTGATCAGAATATTCGGCCTATTTGAAGTGCAGAAGTGGATGAAAACTTGTGAATATTTCTTCATTAAAGGAGAGGAACATCGGCTCCTGTAAAATTAAAAACAGATTATTTTGGTTTTCAGTTGCCACGAATATAGATTGCGACAATGATACAAAAGCTCTGAGTCGTACTAATGCACCGAGATTACATTAGTTATAACCGAGTTCAACGATTTAACTCAGCTGATTAACATGCATCAATATATTTAGGGCACATAAAGCATACGTATTATCTGGCAGTGTTAAATACATAACAAATAACAATGATAGTCTTACAGGAGAGCTGTTACAGTATATGGCTAATATTGCTTGACATAACAGCATGAAAAAGAAGCAATGGATTTCTAGGTATCTATTAATTTATCATACTATCATTGCACGCCTTACCTGACTTGGCGTTCACAACTCTAGCGAAATATGATGGCGGTAAGAAGCCTCGGTCATCGCCAGGGCACAAGATGACGTTGTTGGCTGACTTGAAGAATTTGTACCCGTCTGTATATTGTATGAATTATTAAAAATATACCACATGGTGACCACAGACACTCGACATAGTAATAGAGAAATAAAAGTGTTCCAGCTTTATTGGTAAATATTATGAACTAATAAAAACACGGACAAAAATTATGATGAGACAAAACATAGTGCCACCCACAGGGCGCAGCCATAAATATGCAGTTCCGAACAATTCCTAACTCTCATGATGGTTACGGTAAACATTATAAAGCATCAACAATACTGACAAGCTTGTAAAAACTATAGTAGAGTGTACCAACATAGACGTGAAGCAAATTTTGATGATAACATGGCACATGTTTAAAGCATCAAAAAGAACAATAACTAAATATACCAGTTAGCGCTCGCAGGCGGTCGAAATAGAAATAGAGTGCTACCAAACGAATTTCAAACTTATATGATAATAAAGGCATACACTATATACCTAGCATTAAAAACACTAATAACAAACGTAGAGCACATACCAGTTAGCGCCCGCAGGCCGTCGACATAGATATGGAGTACTATACCAAACAAGTTCCAAACATAGACGGTAGTAATGGCATACACTATATAGTATCGAAAACAGTAATAACAAACGTTGGCGCACATTCAAAGCATCAAAAACACTAATAACAAATGTAGAGCACATAACAGTTAGCGCCCGCAGACGGTTGAAATAGAAATGTAGTACCATCAAACAAATTTCGATAAGATAAAGTGATGCTTTATCTTATCAATGATAGAATATCGGTAGAATAGAATAGTACCATCAATAGAATAGTACCATCAATAGAATAGTAGGTACCATCAATAGAAATGTAGTACCATCAAACAAATTTCGAACTTAGATGATAGTAATGGCATACACTACCTATATAGCATCAAAAACACTCATAACAAACGTTGGCGCACATTTAAAGCATCAAAAACACTAATAACAAACGTTGACACACATTTAAAGCATCAAAAACACTCATAACAAACGTTGGCGCACATTTAAAGCATCAAAAACACTAATAACAAACGTTGGCGCACATTTAAAGCATCAAAAACACTCATAACAAACGTTGGCGCACATTTAAAGCATCAAAAACACTAATAACAAACGTTGGCGCACATTTAAAGCATCAAAAACACTAATAACAAACGTTGGCACACATTTAAAGCATCAAGAACACTAATAACAAACGTTGGCACACATTAAAAGCATCAAAAACACTAATAACAAACGTTGGCACACATTTAAAGCATCAATACGCTAATAACAAACGTAGAGGACATACCAGTTAGCGCCCGCAGGCCGTCGACATAGACATGAATATCACAGGTGGCTCGCACGCCGCTGATGGTGCCAGCAGCGCCAGTGATTCCTGTTGCCAGGTGGATGTGCTGGCGTGTCATGCGACTCAGGCCTATGAAATAAAACAAGGTTTAAAAGAACATGTAAACAAGGTTTAAAAGAACATGAAAAAATTTAGCTTAAAAATTGTACTTTTTAGCGCATTTTCTCATATATGAAAAAAATGCCCTATTGTGCTCGCCATGTCCATCTGTCCGTCCGTGACCTCAAGTTTTCGTCGACGAGAAAATGCGCTCTCTGTCACTCACTGCAGTGAGTACTGAGTTATATTTTTTACAAATCATTCCACCTCGAATTCAAAAGTACAATTCCATCAACCACCTCCAATTTGCTAGGATATACATAAAATCTGCATTGTCCTTGGTTTATGTAAAGTTTTTTTATAACTCAACTAGGAAAGACATCCTAGTTGAGTTCTAATGAAAATAATAATAATAAGATGTACTATTTATATAGACAACATATTATATTTTATATATTATTATATATACATTAATACCATTGTTACAAGTTGATACAATATCCAATGCGATTTCCACTTTTCAGCAACATTTAAATCGCTATATTTTAAATTGATGCATTCTTTCCACTAGACTGTCATTCTAACCTGAATTGTAAGTGTGCATATTTGTATATATATATATATACATACAGTATATATTCGTGCAGTATAAATTTGGAGTGGTTGAAGGCAAGACAGCTATATAAAGAAAAAAATTCTTATTGTTGAATCAACAGAAGATGACATTAATGCAGCAAAAAATCTCAACCAAGAAGCTGCCACAAAAAAAAAAAAAACAATTTTCCCCTATATTGTATGCTCCTATATTCCTATACACCCACCTTGGGACTTGATACTGCTCCAGTATTGCTCATATGTGCCGTGGATGAGGATTTCAGGAATGGTTGAAGATGTCAGCTCTTCCAAGTCAACCTGAACATTCTACAAGCGAAAAAAAGTTAAATCAGTACTCACTGCAGTGAGTGACAGAGAGCACATTTTCTCGTCTGTCCATGAAGTCACGGACAGACAGACAGACTGATGGGCATGACGAGCACAATAGCACCTTTTTTCCATAAATGAGAAAATGTGCTAAAAAGAAATAACTAAATCAATGAACTAATAGAACAACATAAAGCATAAAAACATAATTATATCTACACAGATATAATTATATCTATCACAGATTATATCTACACACAAAGAAAAACATTCAAATATAAAAAAATTATGAGCTATTCCTTGAAGCCTAAGAAGATGAAGACCAAGCCAATCCCAGGCTCTATAACAAACACTGGAATGACACATTGATGGAATTGATTAAAAACACTGCAAGTACACATTAATGCTTAGTACTAGTATAATGCAATGACAGCACTAAGTCACAAACCTTTGTCATAAAACTAATATTGAAGCAATTGCAAGATCAAACAAAACCCAGTGTGATTAGGTACCTTCAAACTGTGCCCTTGATTTGCTCTAATGTAGAGCTTGTTCTCTTCTTCCTTCAAAGCAAAGCGTTGTTTAGGACAGCTCAAAACTATGTTTTTGATAGTAGCAATGTCAACCTGAAAATTAATTAAGAATTAATATGCATATCAACTAATATTTAGTTGAAATCTAGACCAATGCAAATGGGCCTATTTTGACACCTTATGGTAAATAGCGTGTCATTAAAAATTTAATTACTCTATAGGCTTCTAATTCACATCAAACATTCATCATTCAAATTATTATTTTGAAATAGTATATAATCAATGTCATTTGGGCATTCCAGCATCACAAATTTTATGTGCATGCAAATTCATTAATAATTAAATGGAATAATCTAAAACCCCAGAGTTTTTTTATTATTTATTAATTTATTATGATATATGGTAATAAATTAATATCCCATACTTGGTTCAAGGGATAGCACAAATTACATACTTCAGTATTTTGAGCAATTTATGGAAAATAATTTATAGTACCTAATAATATATCATTTTGTCTTTATTAAAAGCATATAATGATAGTCCCCCTAAAAAATAGATATAGGTAACAGCCAAAAATTTACAGCCAAAAATAATGCAGGGATTCCCTTTGTAATCAAAAAGCAAGGATTCCATTTGTAATCAGCATTGAATAAGAAATTTTACACTAACAGTTTCATCGTGCAATAATATATATAAACAACTCATTTGAATCAGAGTGCTTTGCAGGAGTTTAAATCACCAATTAAAATTCAGATCTAAGTAATTTGTAATCAAAGAAAGGTCAGAGCAGAAAAAGATTAACTTGTACAATTCTTGAATAATTTTACCTCCACATGTAGAAAACAAATTTTACTCTAGTTTACTCCCCAATGTACTTGCAGTCATAGATTTACTTTTGATTTCTTCATAAATACACAAGCTTTTTTGAGCAGATTGTGAACTTGTGAAGTGAGATGAATCTGAAGTTACCTAGTTACTTTAGTAATTAACAACAACATTCAATTATGCATTTTGTGATTTTAATATTTCAACAAAATTAAGGTCTTACATTAGATTATTAAATACAGTAAATAACTTTAAAAAAGTTGTAAATGTTTGGTTGAAACTTGGCCTTTCATATGAAACCATGAGACTAGATGAGTAGATTTTAAAGTAGCATAATTATTTTTATGGTTGATGGGAGCTTTTAAGGCAGAAACGTTACCATGCTAGATGTGCAGAAGCATAGAAAATTTTCATTTTCTAATTATAGAATCATTTTCATTTTTCTGCCAATTGTATTCAAAATTCTTGTATGAAATATTTATTCCATAATTTTAGCAAGATAATGCAAATTATCTTGTTAAAATCAAAATGACATGATTGTGATTGGAGTTTTGTAAAAATCTTCTATATTTTTTGGAAAATTTGTGCAAGTAAATCAAAACATTAATACTAGTCAAGCAACACAGCTCACACCCAGTAACATGCAGCCCATAGTGGTAAATGAAAGCATTTTTAGGGGCCTGGATCAGATTGCTTATGAGATGAAGGTCCCCAAAAATTTTACTTTTTACCCACTCTGAGCATGCATATATATTAACAATACATTTTAATGGAGTGTGACATACCCCTGAAAATTGTGGCATGGCAAGAAGACTTTCTACATCAGCCCAGCCTTGACTATCAAGTGGCAAGCCATGCCTCTCACCACCATGACGAAGTTGAAAAGTCAATGCTTTGCTTATCCTTTTGTTTTTCTTATCAACACTCATTTTTGAAATTTGAATCTAAATAAATAATAACAAATATGAGAGATTTCATTATAAACCAATTAGTCATCAAGCATGATGGATAAAAAAAACTAGGAAGTTTCTATGTTGATGATCTGTGGTGATCTGTTTCCTTTGGTGAGTGTATATATGTAGGTATATAAAAATACACTATTAAAATACTAATAATCATAAAATATACTAATAAAATAATAATTTTGATTTTCATCAAAAATATGAAAACTAGAGACTCAGAAATGTACCTGAAACAGTCTCAAAGTATTACAATGAAGCAGTTTCATCTCACGATCATCGATGAATTAAGCTGGTTCCTTGACACCCTTGACAATAATGTAAAATCCTGGACTATACCAAGAAATGGCAAACGCGAAAAAGTGGGAGTTATCCAAGAGGCTGGTGCAATCTGTAGTAAATTTTGCTTCAAAGAAGGTGGTAGACTTCTTCATTATTTGGATTGCATCCAAGTAATTGTACTAACAACTACAACATTGAACTGCCATTTTTCCTGCCACCTGAGACAAGCTCACAACCAGACCAGGTCTCAAAGTATTAAAAAGAAGTGACTTCATCTTGAGATTGTTAATAAAATCAGCAGGCTTTGTGACACCCTTGAAAACATTGTCATAACCCAGATTATACACAACAATGGTCCCTGCAAAAAAGTGAGAGTTCTGCAAGGGACTGATGTATTCTATCAATTTTGCTTCAAAGAAGGTTGTAGAGTTCTCCATTATTTGGATTACATTGAGTTATTTGAGTAACAATAATGATATTGAACAGCCATTTCTTCAACCACCAGAGACAAGATCACAATCAGACCAGGTCTCAAAACATTACAAACAAGCAACTTCATCTCAAGATTGTCAATGAATTCAACAGGCTTCGTGACAACAACATCCAACTCTGAACTAAACCCAATAATGGCCCTTGCAAAAACGTGGGAGTTATCTGAGGGGCTGGTATAGTCTATAAATTTTGCTTCAAAGAAGGCTGTAGATTTCTTCATCATTTGGACTACATCGGACAAATTGGATCAGCAACCAGGACACCAAGCTGCTGTCTCATTAGCTACCTTCAACCTGGAGGGCAAGTGAACCACATGAGACAATCTCACAATCATAGTCACTTGTATTGTGCTGAAGGAACCCACCAGCATTGTCATCAAGCTGTGGCCTGACATCACTTGACCAATGATGGCTGACCTTGTCTCTGCAAATTGGACACCAGCTGTCTCCTGACAACCATCAAGTAGGGTGATTTAGGCTACCGGGTGTGACTTTGGCCACCACTACAGACACAAATGGCAGCAAAACAAAATTATAAATAATAAACATTGGCCAATGTGACTGGGGTGACTTTGGCCAACATTTATTATTTTGTTTAGCTGCCATTTGTTTCTGTTGTAGGTGTGGCCGAAGTCAACCCTGGTGGCCAAAATCACCCCACTTGATGGTACTGGATTTGTCTGAACTTTGAGATAGTTTTCAGAGTGATTTTTCTGGTTCAAAATTCTACTGTAGTACCCAATTTATGTACATTATGTACTTATTTCCATCAAAATTTCAATGCTCCTTGTAATTTGAAAATGAATGTTTGTTGCATTCAAAACGTCATTAATAAACTAGAACTACCTACTTCCCTTCCTGAAATATCCTAATTTCCTTTTGATCTACCAAGGTCATCTGAAGAATAGCCCAACTCTTTGATAATTTAAATCAATGAATTCTCTGGTCACTACTTGCAAATGTATAAATCAGCAAATTCTGCCACTAAAACTAATATATATGTATATATATATATATATATAAATACATATATACCGTCAAAAAGAGTAATAAGGGATGTTTTTGAGCATTTTTTGTTAATAACTTTGCAACATGGAACATTTCATAAACAAGTTTGTGCTCATTTTTTAGCTCTTTGCAAGAACTATCATATGTCATCTTCAAAAAAATTCCATGTGCCTGACACAAAATAAAAGCATCCTGATTTCATAAGGTGCCTGACACAAAATAAAAGCATCCTGATTTATCCCCTGGGAATGGGGTAATCTGGGACACTTGAAATAAAACTTAATTTTAAAACATTTGAAGCATGCAGAGTGTACTCATCTACTACTAACAGTACTCTGAAATCCTCCTGTTCCTTTGCAGAAGATGTAGATGTAGAATAAATGACATTTTCTGTGATTAATACTTGTTTTTCATTTATTGATATATTACCATATCCATACATTATGGTATTATTAATGTGATATTACTGTATCCATGAACATGCCATTGAGCATTTACAACAACCTAATCCACTGCAAGCTTCATATCAGCAGCTGTATACCATTTTTTTGCATCTGTAAGATTACAGGACAGTTTGTAATTTCATACCATTTTAATTTGGTCAAGTGAATTCTCTGTAACAAAAAAAAAATATAACTCAGTACTCACTGCACTGAGTGACAGAGAGCACATTTTCTTGTCGACAAAAACGTGGTCACAGACGGACAGACGGATGGACATGATGAGCACAATAGCCCATTTTTTCCATAAATGAGAAGATAATGCGCTAAAAAGATCATAAAAACATACCTGAAACAGAAAGGAATATTTTAGAGACAACCATCATGTTTTTTGGAGAAATAAATCATAGCTTAGATTAATTACTTTTTATTTTATGTTGCTCAGTGTCAAATCCATTTATGACATTCTATGCACAATATTGCGTTGACCAATGATACATTAATTTTCATTAAGTGAAATTTTTTTTAGCTGACCATGTTAAATGCAATCAAAATTTTTTTGTTAATTGATTTTTTTTAACTGAAGCCTTTGCTACTTGAAGTTCTACTGTAAATGCATTTTTAGGGGTGTCTCTTATCACCCTGTTTTGCAGAAATGGCCGTCATTTATTTTAAATGAGATAAGCAAATTCCTTCAATCCCGTTTTTAAGCTAACACTTGTGCGCAACTTTTATGTAAGTAAAATTTTCTAATACAATGAATATTTATTTTACTACAGACCTTAGCAGAGATACTTTTCCAAAATCTCACTTTTCACACTTTTATCATGGATATTTTTTTTTAGAGGTAGTAAATGTATGATTTCTTAACACGTTGACTACTAAGTGGTAGGACGTAGTGGTACATAATCCAGGTTGCCTAAAATTGGCCAAATCCAAGAATAAAAAAGGCCAAAAAAGGCCGATAACTCAAAATATACTAGTTTATTTGTAGGTTCTGCTATAAAAATTCCATTTATTTTATTTTTGCACTATTTAAAATTTAATTAGGAAGTACCCCTATCATAAATTTTAGCCGGCCAACGCAATTGAGAAAAACTAAATCACGGAATTTGTCCAGAAAAAATGACCGTCTGGCAACCCTGTTTAAAAAAAGTACAAAAAATGAAATAATAGTACAAGATGAAGCAATCGTAGTCAACGTGTTAACTTGCTTTATGCTACATAGGTAGTAAAAATGTTCAACTTTATGCCACCATTTTTACTTTTGCAATATTTTGATTAGTTTAGCTGCTATAACATTTCTACCAAATGTGGGACAACTGTCCTGATTTACCCCGCCCAACCCAAATTACCCCATTTGACGGTGAATGTCACTGACATGGACAGTCAGAGAACTGGGTCAGTATCAGAGAACTGGGTCAGTATCAGAGAACTGGGTCAGTATCAGAGAACTGGGAAGTAAACATGCCATTTGGGCTTGAAGCTGGATCTCACCAAGAAAAACAGCATGGCCACATAGGAGCAAACCAGAGATTTTTTAGATTCATTTCATTTTCAATTTCCTCATTTCCTCACACTTTAAACCAATTTCTTGTGTAAATTAATGCTGGCATCCATGCTTTTTTGCAAGTCTACTGGTACTTATAGAACACAAATTGAACTTGAGAAAGAGTCTAAAAAACTCTCTGCTTTGCCACTATGCATGTCTTTATGATTATACAGTTAAACGGGGTACAAAGGGATGGTTTGAGCGTTTTTTGTTAATAACTTCTTACCATGCAACATTTCATAAACAAGTTTGGGCTCATTTTAAAGGTCTTTGCAAGGGCTATCGTATGGCATCTCCAAAAAAATTCCATATGCTATTTGTAAGATGCTAGATGTAATATAAAAGGCTCCTGAAATAATCTGGAAATGGGGTAAAAAGGGACACATGAAATAAAACTCAATTTTAAACATTTGAAGCATGCAGTGTACTCGTCTATTACTAACAGTACTCTGAAGTCCTCCTCTTCCTTAGCAGATGATGTAAATGTAGAATAAATGAAAATTTCTGTGATTTTTACTTGGTTTTTCTTCATTGATATAACATTACCTTATTCATACATTACCGTATTATTAATGTGATATAACTGTATCCATGGACATGCCATTGAGCATCGACAACGACCTTGTCCACTGCAGGCTTCATATCAGCAGCCATGTAGCATTTCTTCAGTACCGTCAACTGAGGTGACTTTGGCCAAATTACACTAGTTTCTGCCGATCAAATTCCTACAAAATAGGAATGAGGCGTTGTTGGTGATTGTAAATTTGTAAATATATTACTGAAAGGTTCTTCTTTAAATATGTCGTGTCTAAATTATGTCACTCTTATCGAAAAATAATATTATTTTTTTTAATTAGCTGGTTGGCCTATGTCACCCCGCGATGGGGTGACTTCTGCCACATGTGCTAAACACAGTAAAAACATAGTAAAATGATTTCATGGCCAAATTCAACCATTAGCGGGGTGACATCGGCCATGTAGGGTGTTTTAAAAAATGATAATCAATGCCACTGTGTATTGTAACAATTGTAACTCAAAGATAAAACTCACATTTGCGAATCATATGCTTCATTAAAGCTGCTTTCTGTCAATTTCAATGGCAGCTGGATGTGAAAGTTTGAAAAAATCTAGTCCCCATGGGATCTTGAGCATTCTTCAAAAAACCGATGATGCTTGATAGAGGTGCGATCCTTGAACTTATGTAAAGTGTGACCCTGTTTGTCAAGGTAATTTTTAACCATAAAAGGCAGATCCGTACCATCTAATGGGAAGCCCCAGTCTGAAAGCAGAATAATGTAGGATACTAAATCTGACTCCACCGTAGGTGAAAGAGTAGACTCCTAAATTTTTTCGCAT